CAAGGCCAAAGACTTCTTCACCTTAAATACTTTTTTCCAACATGTGAATTTCTTAACATGGGATACATAGAAATCAAATTGTCTACGTCTATGGGGAACAAAACTCAATATTAGCAGCTAAAAGCAGTCTAGGGGCCTACAGTGTCTCATTGATTTTTCCTCTTGTTTTTCTATTTTTGGATTCATGTATTACTGCTTTAATCTTTATAATTTCTTTTCTTTTGGTATCTGAAGGTTTATTTTGCTGCTCATGATCTCATTACTGAAGGTGTTGGGTTATGATGTCGATGTTGCTTTTTTCTTTCATTTTTGATGTGTGCATTCTTTGCTGTGAATTGCCCTCTGGGTATGGATTTTGCTGTGTCCCCAAAATTTTGTTATATAATATTTATTTCATTGTATGTTTCAAAGTAATTTAAAATTTTAATCTTAATTTCTTCAATTAATAATTTGTAAGCAGTGTTGTTCACTTTCCATGTATTTAATAAAATCTTTATTTTCCTATTACTTATCTCTAATTTTATGACATTGTGATCTGAGAAAAATGGTGGTTCATATCTTGTTTGTTTTTTTTTTTAATAAAATGAGCTTGCTTTTTATTTGAATTTATGATCCATTGTGCTCTTGTTCAGTAGAGTGTTCTGTATATGTCTTGAAAGTCAAGCTGATTGGGTATGTTGTTTTTTCTTCTGTGTCTTTATTAAGTTTCTTTCCAGTTGGTCTCTCCTTCCTTAAGGTTGGTATATTGAAATCGGTGTAGTATTTTCTATTGATCTCTTGTCTCTGCAACATTCCTCTTTTAATTTTGGAATGATAATTCTGACTTAAGAGTTCAGAGTTAACATTTGAAATCATAACTTAGTATTGTGTGTTTGTTTCATTTTGAATGTTATAAGTGTTTTGATTTATGGGTTCTGGTAACTTATGCGTTGATCTCAGGTTCATGTCCACTACTGTTATAGATTCTCTGTTTAGGGAACTCCCCTTAGTAGTTTTTATAATGGTCTGCTTGTTTAAAATTTCTTTTTATCTAGAAATATCCTTAAATGAGGGATAATTTTGCTGGATATAGGATTTTTATTTGACTTTTCTTTCAGAGTTTTATATATTTCATCCTACTGCCATCTTGTGTGCATTGTTTCTGTTATGAAATCTGAGCTTACAGAAAGAAAATAGTTTGAAAATGATGATGGCAACATATGTACAAATGTGCTCGATGCAATTGATGTATGGATTTTTAAATAATTATACAATGATTTAAAAATTCTTTGAGTTTATTCTTAATGATTCTCCTTTGAAGGTTTTATATTTTATTTTTCCTTTTTTCCAAAGCGACTCTCAGGATTCCTTCTTTCTCTTTCACATTAGAAAGTTTGCTCTACCTCGGTGATTTTCTTTTGAGGTTTATCCTGTTTTGGTTCTTGTAACTTCTTGAATGGTTGTTTTCTTCTGATGTGTTAGGGACTTTTTTCCCCTGCAGCATTTCTTGGACTATTTTATCTGTGGATTTTAACATTTCTTGTTCTGGAATTTCTGCCAGGCATAAGTTATTTCACCCGATAGTATCTCACATAGTTTTTTGACATCCTTCAAATTCTTCTTTCTATTGATTGATTTTCTAGAATACTATTGAGAGATTCATCTTAAGCTTATTTGGTCTTGCATTACTTCACTTATTCTGTTTTGTTTCTTCAAAGTGTTGTATAATTCTAATATCTCAGTATTAATCTTTCTGTTTGGAATTATATTTCAAATTTTTAATTTTTGTCAGATTTTAATTCTAGTTTTCCCCCTCAACTATTCTTTATTTCTTTTTTAAAGTAGTCTTGATGATTTTTCTCTATTAAAAATACTTGAGATAAATTTTAATGAATTCCTTTTGTAGTAACTTCAATGCCTTTCTCCTCAAAAAGTTCTTTTGGCATGTATATTGGTCACCTCTTTATGTCATCACTCATTTTCCCCCAAAAACCATTTTATTAGGAGCTAATCCAGACATCATACCATTTCATTTCAAAACATTTTCTACCTTTTCGAACTCCTTGATATCAGCTACTACTTACACCACAACTTCTCCATGAACCCTTATTCTAGCTGCTGTCTCTAGAGTTTCATCTATCCTGGGTCCCAGATACTGAAAAACAGAAAATTCCGTAACAAAGATTCAAGAAGGCTATCAAAACCCCACTATGGGGGGAAAATGCAGAAAATCAAGATCAAGCCCAACGTGTATCAGAAAAGAGATCAAGTGACAAGTCAGATTTATCATCTTAATCTACTTTAGTCATCTCTCCTCTACGCCCTGTCTGATCACCAGGTTATTCCCATCCTTCAATTTTGGTTCGAGGGAAATCCCCAGAGACTTCTTTCCTGTGTAGATCCTGCAAATTATTGTGATCTTCCACTGTCATCATAGCCTTCTGCACACCAGAATCTCACAATTTAATCTCACATTCTCACCTTTAGATTTGGGTTATATAATTTACAATCTTTGGATCACGGATGTTAGTGTGCTTCTTTCATGTGGATTTAGTTGGCATCTGACTTGGATGGCTGCTTATTTGGAAAAAAGCCTTTCAGATCCCAGACACGATTCTATTTGATAGCCGACTACAATCTAATTTCTTCACTATACTTTGCTATAACACCCATATCTTCTGTGTTTCTTTCATGAGGGTGAGCATCAAGCAGGGCTATGTCATAAGAACTAATTGCTCTTAGAATGGAGCTCACACTAGGGTTAAGTGTGAGCCCCAAACCCATTCCAAAATCTATGTTTTGTATCTGCCTGTGGTTTATTTTAGAGACATCCTTGTTAATTTTTGGTAGAGAATCTTATTGATCATCTCCCTGGACCATATGGATATTCTGTTTCTAGTGTCATTGATTAACTCACGACACCATTGAGAGCAGGGGATTGAACAAGTGTAGGATAACTACATATCACAATACACCATCATTCTTATTTCTTTCTGCTACTACCTTTTGTCTCTGAGACCTAGTCATGTAAAAGTTGGAGGTGGGAGAGCGGCTGGTTCACCTGGGGACAGTTGACGCCTTCAGATGGTGTGAGAAAAGTATAACACAATAAAATAAAACAAAAGCAAACAATATTAAAATGAAAAAACTCCCACAGAACAAAGTACTACAATCTCACCCACATCCATAATAATAATAAGCAGATAAAAATAGAAATAAATAAAAAAGAAGACCTTACCTGGAGTCAGCAGCTGCTTCTTCTTTGTCAGTCACCACCATGTATTTATCAATATCTCACTTTGGTGTGCAGTAGGATTTCAGCTTGTGAGTAGGCATGCTGAGCTTCTCTACTCGTTTAAAAACATCCCTAAGCCAGCATGGTTAATCCTAGGTGACACGGACTGAGAATCTGTTTGTACAAAAGCTCTGCCACTTTAAGGAATAGCCGTAACCCAACTCAAAGCACCAAGTACTCAAATATGTGAGGTTCTAAGCCTGCTTGTTTGGACCCGGAGCTGCAGAGATTGTTATTTTGTGTTCTCATGCTTTTAAAAGCACTCCTAAGCTGAGACTTTTGTGTCCACAGCTGAGGAACTCATGAATCTGGGTGCCCTAACTCCTCCACCATTGTTACAAGTACCCTAAGCCAGCATGTTAAGTCCCAGAGTTACAGAGCCTGGGCATCTTGTGCCTTGTACCCGTACTTTAGAAAAGTATCTTTAAGCTGGCATGTTAGGACCTAGAGTCACAGTTTGTGAATCTGTATCCCTCAGCCTCTCTGCCACCTTTAAAATTGTCCCTATGCTGACACCTTTGGGCCTTTGGGCACCACCAGTGCCATCTGCATTGAGTAGAGTTTTGTAGCCACTGCTGGGCATGTGAATGTGAACCTGAGGCCCCTCCAGGAGTCAGGGATCCACAGAGAGCCAGGAGAGGTTCAGTTCCACCCACAACAGTCTCTCATGCACTTGGTATTCAGCTCTTTTGTTTTTCCTCAGAGACTCAGGACTCCCAGTTTTTCTTAGTATCTGCTTTATCATATTTTTGTTGAAGTATTTATTTTTAACTTTAATGTTCCAATTTCTAATCATTGTCAGTTCATCTCAAGTGTATATTTGATCAATTGCAGACCAAGTTGGTAGAACTTCAGTTTCTTCATCAGAAGCTTTATTGGTTGGTTCATTGATTTGAATAATAGTTATGCTCACTGGCTTTCCTTGTATCACAGGCAGTATTGAACTTCGAGATAGACCTTGAAATGTTCTTTTTGACAATGAATGTGACACTTTTCCTCTTGAAATTGTCATTTCTAGCATAGTAAACCATATGATTGATTCAGAACAGTCAGTACTATTCCATTTTTGCTCACTAATTTCTAGGTTATTGATCTCTATGCATTCTATTCCATCTTTTGCCTTTCAATTGTTATAGATTCATACTTTGTACATTTCATGTTCTAATTATTAATAGATATTTGGAGCTTTTTCTTCTCATTTTGATTTGTGCCCCATCAATAAAAGAAGTTCCCAAGAGTTTTAATTTATTCATGACATTTATGATTACTTTTAGAAGGGAACTCTTCCTCATTTGTATTTTGAGTGCTTTCCAAATGGAGGGGCTCCTCTTCTGGAATTATATCTAACAGTTTTCTGTTGCTATTCTTGGAGTCAGTGGCTAATACCTCAGGAGTGGACGGCCTGTAGTTTGTAGTCTGTTCTTCGTCTGGAAGCTCTGCTGGAGCCTGCTCACCTTGGCTGAAGCTGCTGGTATTTGAAATACTAGTAGCATAGTTTCCACCACGACTTCAAATGAAAGTATGAGAAACTGACAGGCAAGTGGTGGCACCTGTTCTTAGGCCTTCTGATTTAAAACTTCTTTTTTTTTAAAGTTAAACTTTTCAGTGGTCACTTTTATTGACTATGTGTGCCACTCACGCTGAAGATAATTTTAAGGAGATGGCCACAGTGTGATGCGTGCTCAGGTGGTGTCTGATTGTGCTTTTTCAAATATTCCTCCTCCAGGGCCTCCCACTGAGGATGGTGACCGCATGAGTGCCTGTCATGACCAGCCGCAGGCGCCAGACCACCATGAGCAACATGCTGGACCACAGGGCGAGGCCAGGTTCCACAGCATCTCACAACCTAGAGCCGGAGAGTGAAGAGGGAGACCTGCCCCTGGAAGAATATGAGCCTGCGGGACTGGAGCTGGCCACTCTCCGGCCTGAAAGCCCCCCGCCTGTGGAGCAGGTTTGTACTGACCACAGCCCTGATGGGGACTCAAGCTCCGACTATGTCAACAACACCTCTGAGGAGGAGGAGTATGATGAGGGCCTCCCAGAGGAGGAGGAGGGAATCACCTACTATATCCGCTATTGCCCCGAGGATGACAGCTACCTGGAAGGCATGGACTGCAATGGGGAGGAATACCGAGCCCACAGGGCCTCCCATGTGGAGACGGATGAGTGCCAGGAGGCACTGGAGGAGTGGACAGATGCAGCGGGCTTGCACCCTCCTGGTCCCAGGGCTGACAGCAGCCAAGATGACCAGGATGGCCACCTACCTGTCCCTGAGCACGAGACCTCAACGCTGGAGACCCACAGCCAGGAGGAAAGCATCCATTACTGTCCTGGTGGAGAGGGTTACCAGGACTACTACCCGGCAGAGGCCAATGGGAATGCATGTGGGGGCTCCCCCTACCTCCTAAGGCGGGTAGGTGGCGACTTGGAAGACCAGGAGGAGGATATCGACCAAATTGTGGCTGAGATTAAGATGAGCTTGAGTATGACCAGCATCACTAGTGCAGGAGAGGCCAGCCCAGAGCACACCAATGTGCAGGCCCCTGAACTTGAGCCTGGAAATCCCACACATGCCTCCCCACCTGAGAAGGACAGCCATGGCCCCAGCAGACATGAAAGCCGACCCAAGTCATTGAACCTCCCCATGGAAGCTAAGAACCATGGAGACTCTCAGAGAGGCTTCAAGACTAAGATCAGGACACCGGAGGAGAAGCCAAAGTGGCCCCAAGAGCAGGTAGGACTCTGGCTGTTCTAGATGACCCAGAATGTAGAGGCTATTCTGCTGTAGCCACACAACCACACTGCTCAGACTGGCGAGGAGACCAGGGGTGGGGGGTGGGCTTATTGTTCAAGTGGTCTACTTGTTGGTTTGTGTGGAGGGTGGGGGGCTGTACAATTTTCATCACTGCCCATTTCCAAGTTTTCTTTGCCTCAAACAGTAACTCAGCATTTCTTTCTCTACTCAGTTCCTGGTATCACTAATAAACTTTAATCTTTATGCATTTGCCTATTACCGACATAGTGTATAAATGGGATCATATAGCACTTGTCTCTTTCTGTCTGACACTGGCACTCCATGTAATCTTTTAAAGTCTCTTTCATGTGGTATCACATATCAGAACCAAATTTAATTTTTTGGCTGAATAATATTCAATTGTATTCAATTGTGTGACTATTCTACATTTTTTCATTTCATCTGTTGAATTTTTCAAAATCCCCCCCACCCCCCCACCCCCGCCACCACTTTTCCTTGTTTTGAATGGTGCTGCTATAAGCATTGGTATTCAAATTCAAATATCTGTTTATATTCTGGCATTTAAGATCTTTTTATATAAATCTCAGAGCAAAATTACTAAGTCTTAAATTAAATCTATGTTTAATTTATTGAAAAACTATTTATAGTTTACACAGTGGTGGTGTTATTTTACATTCACACAAGCATGGAGTATGGCAGAAAAAAAATTGCTATCAAGTTGATTCCTACTGATAAGTTATGCTAGATACAGCTATCGAGACTATATATTTTTTCTTTGATTATATCTCACATTGCAAGAAAAGGAGGTACTATAGATTCATATATAGAAATAACTTTTTATTTTGAAAGATAATGTTTTACAGAACAGATAATCAGTTTAATATTCAATGGTTTATACACATATTTTTTTCAACTTATTACCCCCTTATATGGAATCCTTTCTCTGGGACAATTGAGTCCAATCAATACCCCCTATCAGCCCAATTGAGGGACAGATAACTGAATTTATTAGTAGACTGGTTCCTGCAACAAACTCTCACGGTAACCAGAACTGTATCTGAGTGCTTCCTCAATTACAAGATTTACAGAGTGTATATATTTGAATGTTCTATTAAAAATGTTAACTACAGATAACATGCAGGTGGGGATTCACATAGAAGTAATAAGGAAAAGAAATAGGGAAATATTACCCATGTCACCAATGTGACATGCTAGTAGCCTGGCTGACTACACTCCAGATATCAAGGACTACCTCCTAATGTTTATGCCTCAAATGGCTCATTAGGTCAGGGGTTAGTGTGTTAGGTTGAGGTTTCTAGAGAAGCAGTGACTCTTGTATGTATATAGAAAGAGATTTATATAAAAAATGACTCCACAATTATAGAAGTGGGTACATCCATCCTGGTTCAAGCCCATGGGTCAGATGTAAGCTTCTCTTGAGTTCTATAGCTGCAGGGGATTATGGACAAGAAGCAGGAAGACCACAGGCAGGGGGATGCCAAGCTGGATGAACATGACATCAGCCAAGTGAATCTAAGATTGGCAGTCCACTGATGACTCCTGGGATCTACAGGTGATATAACTCCTAGGATCAATGAACCACATGCAAGATCCAGATCCAGATCCAGCAGAAGTGAACAAACTTCTACACACTGTCAGTCTATGCTAAGAATAGTGGCCCCATCCCCCACCCCATACCCATCTCAATTGTATCAAGAATGTGGCCAGATTAACTTCTTGGCTGCTTCACAGACAATTCCATCTTGGGGTTGATCACACCATGAGACATTATATCATGGGAGAATCCTTGGCCCAACAAGGTGACATAAAACCTATCACAGTACACTCCTCGTCAACTTGGCACTTGTACACATCTCCTTAAACCCCTAGTCTATAAACAAGGACAGTGATAAAGTCATTTTTACACCTAACATGATATAACTGAAAATGTACTAAATCTCCATTTAAATCTTATATTTCATAAGTGAACAAAGTGAAAATATTTGATGCATACCTCCAAAAAGGAAGTTTTCATAACAATTACAGTTATCATTTCTGTAGCTGGTCACGTGAAAGTAGCTGGTTTTAGCACTACCTTCTTCCATTCTTCCAAAGGTACACTAATTCTGTATACCTTTTGCCCTTAGCAAGTGTTTTGGCTAGTCTTGTTTTTTTGGCTCGTGGGGTTACCCAAACTTCATTTCTTAAGGGTCTGGGCCCCTGATAGTAATGTCATAATTGGATTGCTGTAGTTTACCATTGGCTTTTAATCACTGGACATGGTAATGCAAGAGATGACTTAAGGAATTGCCTGAATTCCAGACGTATTATTCTTCACCTCCATTATGCAATATCAACCCAATTTCCCCTTGGTAATCAGTATTAGTTATACCACACAATACCATAGCATCCATTTTTGCCTGTTGATCCAGAAGCATGAGGCGTTCAAAGTGGCCAGTAGGCATTTTTAACTTCCATTTCAGTGAATCAGTGCTGTGTCTCTAGGTGGAGGTATTCCTCCCTTTGGAACGAAGGACTCTAGACCTGAAAAGCTTACGGTGCAGGGACAGGAAGCAAAAATGTTGTGATGGGTCATTAGGAATGGTAGTAAATGGTACCACTCCAGTTTGTACCTCTTGGTTTCTGGAGCTGTGAATCTTGGCTATTCGAGAAAAAGCACCATATATTGGATACAGGTTTAGAGTACATACAGTTTCCTGGAGAACATTGCTCCAACCCTGCAAGGTGTTGCCACCTAGAAGTCCTTTATATCATTTTATCAAGTCAAGCTGCTTCAGGATATAGGGAAACCTGGTAAGATCAGTGGATTCCTTGAGCATGGAATTTGCTGTAAAATGAGTCCTATGATCCCAAGCAGTGCTGAATGGAATACCATATTGATGGATAAGGCATTTTGTAAATCCACAAAAGTTAGTTTAGCAGAAGTATTACATGAAGCATTACATTACATGAGGGTAGGAAAATCTATATCCAGGGTAAGTGTCTATTTTTTTTTT